GTCCGCTCCGGGCTACTATTAATGGTACGGGTGCGGGGAGGCCGGCCGCGTCGCGTCGCCCCCAAATGCGACTAATTACACCCGATGTACCCCACCGCGACAGTTCCCCCGACCCCAGACCGAGTTCGTGTGAAAATGAGTGGAACGGCGAAGGCGAGTGGCGGAGGCATCATAGTTGTGTGAAATGTGAGGGTCGCGGTGACGTCAAAACGGATATTTATTCTAAACAAGTTCGTGGTGATTTAACACCACTAATCAGTGAGCACAACATAGTGAAGATATTTAGCAGGAATCCAGAAGATTTGTAAATCGTATTGCAGTAACCTGTTGAAGTTCAAAGAAACTTGTAGCCTGTGGAATTCCACTGTGGAAATGAAAATGTAGCGCATATTTGTTTGCCAACACAGCAAAATAATTAAATTAAATTTCACGAATTAAAAAAGAAACAAAACGCGACTTTTAAAATCGTTTAACTTAAATAAAACGAATAGATTTTTTAAAATCTTACACAATGAAAGAAAATTAGTAAGAATGTTGGTGTGTTTGGATCCAAGCTTGTTTCTCGCCTACATTATGCTAAAAAAAATAAAAATAAATAAATAAAACTTTTCTTGGAATTCTGCTCTCAAACCAATATCCGAAATCATAAATGTAAATGTAAATGTAAATGTAAATGTAAATGTAAATGTAAATGTAAATAATGTCTTTGGGAAAATGAACTAAACTCCTATAGGTGACACCATTATCTAAAATAATTATGTAGTTTTGGTTAGTTTGATTTTTTTATTTTGATTTGATTATTTTTTTTAATTATGTAGTTTCGTTTAGTTTGATTTGATTTTTTTGGTTAGAATGATTAAAGTATTCAATCATTTAAAATATTTTTCAATAACTAAACCTTTTTTTAAATGTTCAATAATTAGAACTTGGTAGTTAATTATGAACCTGTTAGTACTGGTAGCAGGTGAAATAAATTTCACTGAGTTAAATCTTCATCGACGGTCTGGGCTGAGTTGGGATCTAGTGAAACACCATGGTTTGTTACTCTTATGTTTAAATTGCTTAGTTCATCCAGAGATAAATTTACAACGACGACACTGCCCTCAGCAATATGCTCGTTTTCATTTGAATTGCCAAATACAATTTCGATGTTTGACATTTTTCATATCGCAATTCATCCTTATCTTAACAGTGCTAGTTTATAATAATTGATAATAGACACAAGCAAGTACGTACTCACCGTACAATAAGCCTCAGTTTTTAAAACACCCCACGTGGGACATTGAAAATGCAAACCTTTGGCTACACTACCTAACAACCCAACAAGCGGACTCTGAGAAGAAGTCTGCAGACGAAATGGCGGCTTTTTCCGTTTCTTCCATCGGCTGGTAAAATAGAAACGTTCCAGTTTGATTGATATAGTCATCGCAACGCAATACATAGGTAATGTTTTAAAGTGCATAAACTACTAATTTACAATCGAAACGTTCATAAAATGTTATATTTTGATTAGTTAAATTGTAGAAAAGAGTTCATTTATTACGAATTTTAAAATGCATTATTTTTCTGAGTGTATAAATCCAAGTAACAAGAAATTGTGAATAGATTATTCTTGGCATATACAAAGGGCAAGTTAATAAACATTTTCGTGGTCGCTCTGAGAGTTTTATTTTTTTCCTTGGCGCGAGGCAGTATTGAAAGCAATTTTCTTCCATTTATTTAAAAACAGAAGTTTTAAAAAACACAAATAACACGGCAACGACAATGAGATCAGGAATAGACCTTTGAAGTATATGAACGCGGCTTTTTCAAAAGGTGCTTTTCAACTTTTTAAAATAACACCTGGGCAATAATCTCTTGACTAAATGACATTATCACTGAGAAAAGAGGAAATTCCGTTTAGTTCGCCACAACTACCCTATCATCCGCGGTCCTTTTTGAACGCTCCGTCGAACTAAAGATTACCCGGAATATTCATCCCCAGAGTTTGTTTTTCTCGGAGGACGGCGGCGGCGCATCAATCAGGGAATCCCTTTTAAATTACGCAAGAGAATCTGAGTCGTTAATATAAACAATCCCCGCAGTATTCCGGGGATTAGGGTTAGCTTTTCTACATAGACACCAACTGACAAGGGCGTAATTAAGTACATCATTAATAAAGATTAGCGATGTTGCTGCAATTGCGTGGTGGGGGCGGCGCGGGGTCGACGGAGGCCGGACGGCGGCGACATCGAGGTTAAGCGGACGCTTGCGACGCCACTGATGCCGGCACGGGTGCTCGACGTCGGGACGGTATCGCTTACGAGGGTTAAACGACGCGGAGGCGTCTTTTTATTACGGCGGCCAATTTTTAGGTTAAATACGAAATCGAAGGGTTCAATTTTGCTTCGTTGACTTCTCAATTCACAATTCACCAAGAATTATAATAAATACTGGTTTATTATTTAATAAGTTACCCCTATAATTATTCACTTTTGAAATTCCGCTTTGCTAGGGAAATTCATGGAGCTACCAGCTCAACAAAAGCCTTGCTTATGCTGATAATACAGGCAAAAAATGTTGCGCGTTCGCGAGTTCTTTGAAAACTCGCTTGCAACCAATAAGGACTATCATTTTAAATCTCTCCTTCGGCGAATAACAACTTGCGGCAGTCAACAATCAACATAGCCGCTGAGCGTGCATCAATTCGACAATTTTCAGCGTGGATTGGGAATTATTGTGTTAAAATATGCCCAAGCTCCATTTAATTTTGAGAGAAAAAACCAATTGAATTTGTGGAGATCGCTTAGAAAGAAAATGGCGCAGGTTGATGTGTAAAATTTAGGTTCGAAAAGTAAAACCTTTCTTTAAGTTCTGTAAACAAATTGATACTAATGGAAGAAAAGTATAATAACATATTGATTTATATTATTTCTCAATTTTACTGTTTTCGGGTAAATGATTTGTTTTGCAAAAATATGCCCAGAAACTAATATATATATATATATATATATATATATATATATATATATATATATATATATATATATATATATATATATATATATATATATATATATATATATATATATATATATATATATATATATATATATATATATATATATATATATATATAACGTTACCAGACCAAGAAAATCGACTTTGGTCTAAAAACGTTTACTAAGTATAGCGAATAATATATTATAAGCAAACAATGAGACCCCCACCCCCCATTCTCCCGTTAACATAAATGAGCAAGAGAAAGACAGCAATCCCGATTACTAGCCTTCTTTTTCTTTCGTTTGTATTCCAGTTTAAATCGAATTCACTGAGTTCACTATTGTATTCCCTCACAACTATCATCTGGTGCGCGGATGTTACCAGAAATTCAGAGGACTTTCTCGGTGTCCCGTTTAAAGATTAATTCGGATCCATTAAAGCGATGGCAAAGCGCAAATGCATTATTGCAGTGGCGGTTAAGTTCAAAAGGGGGGCAACATCCGACAATGAGCTGAATAATTGGTGAATGTTAGTGTTTATTCGCTTCGATTTACGACAGGATCCAATTAGCGATTCAGCAGTTCGTCAATTAACCGATCAAGCACGCGGACTGCGAAAAACGTAACTTTTTTTTTCATTTTTATTCGTCGAACGACAGGCTGCAATATGCGGAGTTGCCGGATTTTGCGACTGTTTATTTAAAGTTCAAATATGAGAAAAACTGATTAAGCCGCCTTGTTTGTCAATCTACTAAAGCTACAAAAAAATTCAAAATTAAAATCCCGATCAATCAACAGTGTTAACAATAGAAAAAAATGAAGAAAATGAAAACGCGGTTCCTCACCCCTAAGGAGGGCGAAATAAGCGCGGCACTGGCGCGTCGGGGCCGAAAATTTCACGACAAACCGAAGGGCGGTCGACTTTATAGCTCGGTGCCCTTTCATGGAAATAACTGTCATCTATTTTAAAGATAAGATCGTAATTGAATCAGTCTGACAGGCGATTTGCACACGGCCGTTGCCGCGGAATGTGTACACTATTATTTTGAATATACCCGCCCCTGAAATATTACCTCGTTCTTTGTTCTGACGGTGTTCTTAATTTTAAAAATCGTTTTCGTTTAAACGCCGCGTTGCCCGATTTATTTCCGCGGTACTTTTCGAAGCGCGTCCCCTTTTGTTTTCCCGTCATCCCAGATTTGAGGTATCGACGTTTCAATGCGTAAATCCGTTTCCGTCCTTTTATTTGTCTCGTTAGTCTCTCTCTAGTAAACTAATATTTTGTAAAATATTTTGTTGTTCATAAGCAAAGTTCTTTTCTTCTGTACTGCTATCAGTCACCTCTGCTAGAATCAGTCTTCAACGTGACTACCTTTTTATTCTGGGGGATACCCTATTTAAAAGAACCCAAAAGATTTCTTCACCCACCAGGAGACAGCACTTATGCGAGGGACGCGGCAGAAATAATAAATAATAATAAAGACTTATAGGCCATGCAACAAGCTTTATGATATTGGCATATGAAGGAACTGGGGTTGGTAGAGAGATCTGGGAAGAGATCCTGAGAATTGTCTCAGTGCACAAGTGAAGAGCCGACAAGCCGTAATTGTAAGACAACACATTACAGCACATCGTAATTGGGTACAAGTACATACGTTTTCAAAAATATTGATTAGGTTTGAGATCTTTTTCGTACGTTTTGTCGCTCAGTTCTCTCCTATGTGCTGTTTTGAATTCTCGGCGAATGTCTGTAATGGACGAGTGTTCTTAACTACCTTTGACCGACGTAGCGAGAAGTGAAAAAAAGGTGCTGTGTGTATGTGTTAGCATTTGTGACAATTCCAAACATTATATTGACGACTTTGCGATTTGCGAAGTAGTAGACAGTAAAAAGTTTAAATTGTTTAGTGTATGAACTATGGTTTAAAAATAATTCACAATATTTGTTATAGGAGCGAGCCTTCAGTCAGTTTACAAGTATTATATAAATAATTTCAAACACATATTTCCAGTCAAGTTTTATTTTGAGTTAGTTTATTCGACAAATTAGCAGAAATAGAGAATCATTGGGCCATGTCAATACGCTGCAGATTCGTTTAAAACTTAATGCTTTAAAATGTGTTCATTTTAAAATTTTGAATTTGTTGTTTCCCGTTTTATAGTCATTTTCCATGTTGCACTAAAAGGTTTTACTTTAAAACACATACATATATATTCTGAAATATTATTTATAAAAATATTCGCGCGCCCAAAAAAAAATTGCCATTTTTTTTATAAATGAAACAATAATATATGTAAACGCCGTTTAAAGCGTTTTCTTCACAATATGGCAAGAGCGCGTATATTATATATTTCAATATATAATGTAAACTTTGTCCGTTTTCGAATATTGAATTTCTTTGTACTTCACAAACAATTCACCCCTGCTGCAAATTACCCGACACCAGGTCCCCCGTAAGGGCTATATAACAGAAAGCGCCATCGTCCGGCATCGGCTGTTCAGCCAAAAATTCATCGGCATGACTTCCGCTCGGATCTGTTATAGGGCAATGTTCAGCTGCCAATTTCGCCGCCTCCGCCAGAGGTTTCAAAGTTTGCCACGAAGGAAGTTCTGCGAATGGACCTACCACCCGCATGTCCTGAATATACCTAAAAGTCATCATCTTCGGTTTTTAATGTTGTCCTTATAGGAGACTCCGTTATTATCGAATGGTATAATCAGATTTTAAAAAACGGATCACCCGGTACCCTAATAAAGCCATCATGTAGTCGTTTCGTATAGCTTTCATCTTCGAGCAACTTTGGATACCGTGAATAGAGCACAGTATTTGGAGCCAAGCGGACACCCTAGTCCTCTCAGCTCCTCCCGTTATCATAGCGGCATAAGGTTTTGCTAGGTACAGGAAAAACTGAAACTCTTGGTCTAAAATCTAAGACAAGTGCACCGTCGATGTAACATTCGACTCTACCATTAAATACAAACCCTGTCTAGAGAATGGTCCTTGTTACACTCCTCCTGAGTTTCGTGAACGGAACAATCCAGCATTTGAAAATTGTCCGGGAGATTCCTGAGCGTGTCCTGCCACGTCCCGTCGATTTCCCACTGAGCCGCAGTCACTGGCGTCGAGCGGATGCTGCTCATATCAGGCAACGCGCCATCTGGCGGATACTGTCGGAAAATGGATACTGCTTCGTCCAGTAGCAGTGAGGTGGTCAGGAACGCCAAATATTTGTTTCGTTTCTCTCTGAGAGCGGTACTTTGATATTCTGGCCTGAACAGTTTTCTGATCCATGGAATAATGTGACGTCTGTCGTCTTCGTGAGACAATGTCGGTCCCAACGTCTTCAATATAGCGCTATAGTATAGGAATTCTGTATTCAGCGGATCAGTCGCTGATCTGAAACATGGTGCGTCATCACCAGGCCTAATATTTCTTAGAGTTATTGGGAGTACTGGATTCTAATGCCAGGTTCGGCGTGAGGTGCCTTAGTTGCATCTTCTTCTCGTGGAGCAGAAGTAATTGAAGGCTGCTGAAGCATCGGAGCTTCTTCCTGTGGAGGCTGTGTTTCAATTTCGGGCTCTACGTCTAAGTCGGGGGGAGGAACTTCCTCGTCAGCCATTGAGAATTTGGATTCTTAAAAGCAGCGCTGTCAAAATGACAGTCCATCACTTAGCAACGTCTGTGGTGAGATTTTTTTAACAAATTAAAAATTAACATTATTTTATTTACTTATTCGATGAACTGTACAAACATTTGGAATTGCTGCTGAATCTGGAAAAAATGTTTCTAGTTTATTTCAGAAATTGAAGAGTTTCTCTTGACTGGAAGGAATATCATTAATAAAGAAGTTTGACCCTCTTCTGTACTTCCCAAATAATTTCTGGTAATTAAATCTCTAATAGAACAGATTAATCTTTACGTTATTAATACTGAAGATAAATTATAAAGTTTCTTCCACCTTAGAATCATACTCCCCAGCTTGGCAGAAAAGTACTTCTGGTTATTATGGTGTCATTAAGTGTTCAGCTTCATAGTATACATTTGATTTTATCACTGAACTATTAACATATCTTTTGAAATGTTCCTTTTCCACTGATATGGCTTCCCATCTTGCTTAGAAATAAAGAAGTCTTTCAGTACTTAAGGGCTCTGATAGGTTCATTTTTTGGTATTGGTTCGGTGTTTGAAATGAAGAAGTCTTTCAGTGCTTAAGGGCTCTGATAGGTTCATTTCTTGGTATTGGTTCTGTGTTTTCCAGATCTTTGTGAAAGCCTTTTAAATGCGACAATTGACTTTTTAGACGAACTTGTCCAATTAGTAGCTCCAACGCCAACATGTTGTCTTGAATATCTGTAAAAGAGAGTTCCTGGGTTTTCTTGTCAGGATTTAAATAAAATCTCGCTTGATTCTTTTTTTTTAAGTTTGTATTATTTTGCATATATTCTTTTCCTGAACTATAATTTTATATATCTTGTAAGTCTCGTCAACTATGTAAACAATAAGTCCTACTTCATTTAAAGAATATTGAAAGGCATCATCAATCAGTGACTCCCAAACTGAAACCCATTTCAATGTCTGAGTTAAAGCCCTTAGATTAAGAACTCGAACGTTTCTTATGGGTGTTTTGTGTCTCCACTTCTTGATTTGGTTGAAATTGAAAATTTGACTTTCGTGAATGGCATAATCAGCGGTTCCCCCACGTGAGATCATAAACAACCGATTGCGTTTGTGTTGCGAGCCGAGGATATTAAGTAAATTTGCGTACCCCCCTATAACATATACTCCCAGCCTGGGGAATATAAATAAAGTCAAAAGAAGCATCGGAGATTCCCGCCCCGGCTCGGGGATGAAACGAACACACGCTAAGTCGGTAATTAGCATACCGGGATCTTAAATAATGGCCCGTATTAAGAAACGTTTAAATAATCTGAGAACAACCAGGTGGGAAGCAAATTTATTCGTTAAATGCTTCTATTCTTCATCCGAAACTTGGGAACGCACCGTCTCGCTCGCAGTCGAGACCGCGCCGCGTAGCTTTCTCGCTCTTCTTAAGCCCCAACAGATTTACATAAGATTATTTTAAACTGGCAGCCCTTAACTTTAAACCCGTTTGCGCGAAAGGTGGTGGTAGCGTCGGGAGGGGCCGGCGGGAACGGTATTCGAAACTCACTAAACTTTTACATATTTAATTGGGAGCTGTGCTTTCTCTCTTATCGTCGGCGACATTTCTACGTCTTTTGTTTAAATCATTTACTAGATTAACTTTCTTTCGGAACGAGTTAATTAAGTTTCGTGGGAGCGGGTGGAGGCGCGGAGGGCCGAGGAAGGAGCGGTGTATGCCTGAGTCTATTTTTGGATGGTTCTCGAAAACTTACCTTCCGAATGAATGCAAATTATTTCACAAAAGTTACGATAGAGTTTTTGTAAATTAATTAATTATACAGAGAGGTTCCAATAAAATGTATCCACCTGATTGACAGAGTTGTTTCATTTTTTGTGAAAGTGTAGCTTAAAGTCCAACCTAGAGATCATTGTAGGTGTTCCAAATGTGTTCACCATTTACATCCACACACAAACGATACCACCGAACTGCAGTACGAACTACTGACTACAAGGATATTTGCACATGAATGTACGATGGGCTCTTAAAGTTCACCCGATGTGGTGAGCGAGTGAGATAGCAGTTAGATGGACTTGTCACTGTTACAGGTCGTCCAGATCGTCGTTTGCGTATATCTTTAACACAGCCCTCGGCTTCAAATTTGTCTCGAATGCGGCGAATAGTTAGACGTGTCGGTGGCTCTGCTTGATAATCATTTCGCCAATACAGTTGAACCTGGTTTACTCCTTGAAATATAGCTCCAAAACTGACTTCCTTTTATCCAATGTAACGCCAGTCATGTTTACTCGAGTAACAAGGTACCACTAAAAATAAATCACAAATACAACGCTTGTAAGCGATTTCCGGAACTACAAACTGCTACACAACCAATAATGAGACAACTCAATTAATTTGCAGGCTATGGACCCCTCTGCATATTATAAGGGCCGTAAATACCGCGCATGAACCTAGGTTTCACAATCTAACTTGCTCTTCGCGCTGCTCTTCTTTTAAACGCTATCCGCACAGTGGACTTGTTTTTTCCTTGAAAAATTAATTTGATCTGTCAAACTGACAAATTGCCAGCGATCATGTTGATTGTTGAACGGCGCAAGAGTTTCCGCAAGGTTTTATTGATCCAGATGATGATTTGATATGACAGGTCTTATTGGTTAAATGTTTTGGAATGACTCGCTCATGTGCATATCTCAAAATTTGTAATGTTTGCTTCAAAAGGACTTGTATTATTAGCATAGGCTTACAAACACAACGTTCCACACAATGTTCCACCCATATAGCGAGCAGGCGTTGGGTTCTACAAAAGCAAAGCGCCGAGCTCGCTCATCAGTTAGTCGAAAAGAGAAACCAGAGCACTCAAATATATATAATCGACGCATGTAAATAATAATTTTATATAAATCATTAGCGGTGTATATAGTGTGCAGTGTGTTAATAGTAAGTGAGTTTGTCATTTTTGGCGAAATTAATTTCAAGTTTTACTCGGAATCACTTGTCAATCAATTTCTTCGGCACGTTTCACAAACCTAAAAAAATTTGTCAATATTTTCCCAAATTATTTGCTGATGATATTGGGGCGTATTAAAAAATCTTAAACATGTCGATTGATGTTTGCGAATTTCAACTGTTTAGGCACATAATTAATATTACCCATGTGGCATTGCATTTTGTATTTTATTTAACTCGTAAACCTAAGAACATTTTGATCAAAAATTCAAAACAAAATGTAATTTTTATTTAATCACAAACACAATAATAAAATCAAATCAAATAAAATCTTACTTGCTCAATCACTTTTCTACACTTTTTATTAATGTAAAAAAACTAAAAATCTAAAATATCTCTATTACTAAAGAATTATTGTCATTATCATTAAAATTTACCCAAAACGATTGTTATTATATATAATTATATTGTCACTGGTGCAATATTATGAGGAGTGGCGCCATCTTGTTGCAATATAATTTTCGTTAATTCATTGATTGTGAAGTTTTCTAAAAACAATTCTATATCTTCCATTACATTATCACACCATATGTGTAAGGATCGAGGTCCAGAACCTTTAACTTTATATACAACAGTAGTGTAAGTGAAATCCGTGGATCATTGTCCAACATATCTAACATATTATTTAAAGTACTGCAATTAATATTATCTGCAGATTGTTGCAAAACTCTTCTGTTAATCGATAATACCTTCGCGTATGTAATTTAAAAACCTAACCTGATATAAATGCACTGCCAAGTCTTTGCCCTCAAAATTTTAACCTTTGTTTTTGTGTAATAATATATAAATAATTTTTTTTTAATTGATATACCATATACACATGTACATATACACAAGTATGTAATCTTACAACTTTTGTATTAAACTTTTTTTCCTAAAATGTAATATAAAGTTAGAGGGAGGTAACGAGGTAACGTAAAAACACATGAAGGCTCGGATGAAAGAATTCATAACTGTCAACTGAAACCATAGATAAAATCACACAAATGCAAATATAATTTGATAATATTTTAGATTTTTTTTTAGTTGAGGTTTTATAATGACATTAAAAAAGCGCGCATTTACGTATATTTTACTCACGACTGTATACTTTTGGAAAATGAATCGCACCTAGGCCCAATTTTCGGGTGTCGATAAAAACGAATGCGTCAAAATTGAAGGTTGACCCACTCCTCTACGCACCCTTCTCGAGTTATAGTTTCCGACGACGTACAGACGCGAATACAATATGAGCCGCAAATTAAATCACCCACAGCATAAAAGACACCTTTCACAGTTAGACGAATCGAAATGAAGTTTTTATGCTGACGGAAATGCCCATTGTGGCGACTGATAGATTCCATTGTTAACTCGATCTGACGTGTTCGGTTGCCACACACAATGTCTACCCGATCTATCACTTACAAACGTTAAATACTTAATCACCTATTTCTATTTTATTTACCGCGAGGAGACCGTCAGGTCTGGTCTTCAAATTAATAATGCACGTGCGTCTTTTTTTAGAGCAAGTTAGAGCGATTCGCTTTATTTCGCAATAAAATATTTACAGATTTGAGAGGCCGAAAAGTTGATCCAAACGAGACTATTTCGCCATTTCTATTGAAACATATACAAAACACTTAAACATTGTCCCTAATTTCCTACGAAAAAAAAAAATTATTAGTATAAAACGATTTTTATTTTAAATTCAAGTTCAAGTAGAGGTAAATTTTTATTGTTTCTTGATATAACAATTACGAATTTTGAATTCATTTGGACGTTGCTCCTAGAGGCCGCTAATAGACAAATCGAATAATATTTTTTTATCTGTCGAGTTCTGGTTGAAACATGATGGAAATGTGAAAAAATTGTCAATTTTCTATAGAAAGGCCGCCTAACTCTCTAGGTTTGTCACCTATTCGTATTTAAAAAAATCGAAGTATTTTTGGGTTTTCTTTAAATACATACTTAAAAGATGAAAATGTCCGAGGAGCAATAAAAGCTAATATTTAACACTAGTTTTTCAGAAATGCTGACTTATTTCGCAAAAATTTGCAAATTAAAGTAAAATTTATTTTAACATTTGGTGGCCTTTCAGCGCTTTCGTAGCTAACTAACCAAAACTAATAAAAATCTTGAATTTTTATTTAGCAGCTAATTCTAAACAAGTAAAAATTAACTTCAAAAGTTAAACAAGGATATGCCGACCCTTCTGTGCTAAAATCTATCAAAGAATCAAAGTTTGACCATAACCTCATTGCCATTTCAATACTCTTTCTTTGTATCGTACATACTGTACGTCGTCTATTTTCTCGCGTCTTGCTAAATACGCGACAGTCGTCGCCTCAAATTTGCTCAAACTCTGCGTTAACTTTGGGGTAAGTCGAGCGTATATGTGATACGCGAGTTGAGCAGATTTAAATACATTGTGTTCAGCGGATTCAGTTCGCACCGGAATCTCCACGAATAAAATATATATTTATATTCAGTTTCAGTACCGGTTCGAATCGACTTATTTCGCGGAATATGTGTTTTATGGGGCAAAAGCATCGAGGACAAGAGGGAGGCCCTTTCAGCTTCGAAGGAAAGCGAATGGATTTTTGTTTCATTAGCTTCAAAATTCGTCGCTTGACAACAATTTACTTTTACTCGCCAAAATAGCCGATCGGACCTGATCAAGCTTTAGAGATCGCGAAGTGACCTTTTAACCTATTTTTTTATTTGCTTTTTCATTTTTTTCTAGTTAATAGAATAAGAAACCAAAACACCGGCAACAAATTGAATTTTGTGGTTACAGAATAAATGTTAATATGTAAAAGACTAGGGGGAAAAAAACTGAAACATAAAATGAGCGATTGGGTCGTTGTAGAGAGAAGCTTTAATATAGCTGTAAAAATTGCATTCTAACCTTACTGTTTCATTTTCAATTAAACAGCGGATGTCTGATTTAATTGTTGGTATATAAATATCAAATTAAGCAAGCATAGGCACGTAATTGGTTACCGTGGCTATTGCGACTACTGGGTGAGCAAGATCTTAACTATGCATCTTTTTTTCTTTCTGAGAGTCATTTTTAATTCAGCAGGTTGATAAAAACGTTGTGATTTGGGTCTAAAGATGGCTTTGATATTCCAAGGGGCTTAACATAGACTAAAATTTGTATTTAATATAATAGATTAATTAATAAAACCCCAAATCGAAAAGAGTTAAATGCTTATAACGTGCTGATAAGAAGCAAATGGGAGGATGTTTTTGTATTTTACGCAATATTTTTCATTTATTAGTTTAGAACAATCAATGTTCAGAGGGGCGTCTAAAAGAAACACATTTTTACGGCGTATATTTTTTATTTCTTTGGTAAAATCATTGGTATAATAATCAATCATACTCTTATTTTGTACTGTACAAGAATTAAACCGAATTGGCACCTTACTGGAAACATTGAATCGAACGAGTTTTAATTGTTATGTATATATACAATAAATCTAAATATTAAAAAAGAAACGGAATAATAGTGAACGAGAAGTATGGCAACAGTAGAAAAAAGTAAGTATAATCCATCTTTAATTATGAACTACTTTATTATCATCAACATTTATTCGAGCCGAAAAGCCTATATACCTCGCAGTTCTTCAGTTTTTGTTTTTTTTTTTGGATTGGTTAGGGAATAGTTTTGCGACAAACTGGATAGGATGTCATATTCGCTTCAAATTCGACCAAAAGTAAAATGGTAGAAACAGATACAGTCGCCCCAAAGTTGTAACTGGGTAACAAAAAAAATTATCGAGAAATACCTTTAACATTTCTCACGAAATCTAAAGCGGGTCTGGCTTTATTCTCTGATAATTCTGGGAAGAGTGTACCTCAAAGTTTTCGATAAATTTTGATTTTGTAATTTTTTTTATTTTATTATCTAGCTCAATTTTATTGTTGTTTTTAAATATCCATCGTATATTAAATAAAAATCAAAATGAATTTAAAATAAAAAAAATACGTTTTAAATTATTTAACAAATTAACAAAATATCTCATTATTATGGATCCGCGTTTTCGCGAGTGATACGACGCACAAAGTGTTACGAAAACGCGGATCCACAATCGAATTAAAAAAAAAAAACAGCTTGTCGCAAAAATACCAACTCGCATGAGGGACAGCTAGTCGAGTCAGAAATCAGATCACATTTAACAGCGTCCACTAGCTGGACAGTACGAGATCGTGAGCGCCATATTGCACATAAACTAGATTAGTCGTTATACATTGAGCATTTCTATAAACACTTTATTATACCGTATATACATATTTTTTTAAATACGAAACAAGAAATGGAAAAACAAAAGTAACCGCAGTTATATCGTACAAACGTAAAGGCATCACAGTCGAGGGAGATTTACAGTTTTCAGCTCGGCGTTCCTAACGACAATTGGCCGTTTTTCAAATGTCCCGCGTTCGGGAACGATTGCCCCGCGATCGAACCCTGCGCCGGTTGTCCGGAAGCTGCCATGTTGTTGTTCATGTCACCGTTGCTCGGAGGAAGGTTCGGTCTGTGACCGTTCAGGAGGTGATTCGGCAACGCTGTCTGAAACGTGAAACTTCTCGTATACAAGCGCATTGGAAAAAACCGTAAAAGGAAATATTTACAAAAAAAAATCAAACGTAGACTCCAACGATTTAAAAAAGTATAAATAAAACATAAAATATTTAAAAATGCGAATGGCTTACCGGCGGTATGGACGTTTGCCTTTTCAGATGCGATAGAGGGGGCGGGTTGTATGCCATATTAGCAAAAACTAAGCGTTCCTCGTAGTCGTACTCGCACAGAATTTTGTTCTCGCACAAGTAAAACCTGTCGCCGACGCAAAATCTGAAACAAAGAGGAGTGCGTGTCAGTACGATCCGAAAACGCAAGTATTGTCCGTAACTTCCTACAAAAAATCAGGTTTTGCGATGTCTACGGCCCAAGTACGTAGAATGATCTTATCTACGGTGTGCGCATCTATAAGCATCACATTATAAGAGCCTATAACTCCAAAACCACAAAAGATTACAAGATTATTTCAAATGGAACAACCCCGTGTCTCCAACATTCATTTCAACGTCAAAGAAAACCAGAAAAACTACAAAAGCAAGTAATCTGCACCTTATTGTTTATAAATGAAAATTAATACGCTTCTGCGTTAATAATTAATTGTAGAACTCTTTTTACGGTTATAACTAGTAATAATAACCTAATACTTGTGCCAATTCTAGACGTGGGAAATAGTTTTGGTTACTTTTAGCAATAAAGAATAATCTGCTAGTAATTTGAGGACAAATACCTATTTTAAAAATGTACTACTAAATTTCAGTGCAGTTTCAGCTTTTAACGGTGTAAGGTGTGTAAGGGCTGTGGAACAATAAATATAGAAGACATATTGAAAATTTGGGAACTTCCCGAGTCCGTATTGAAATGTATGTATTTAGATCATTATTATTACATTGATAATAATTTTTTTTCTTCGTCCAGAAATAGTTTTAAAGTAACTATTTACATATTAGATATATTAGATGTACAATAATAGAAATGCTAGTTTTGGAGAGATAAAATGAATGCAAATAATGTAAATATCTGCTTAGGCTTACGTTTTTAATAAAATGTGTTATTTAACATTAGCCTTTAACAATGGTAAAAATTTATTTTTGTCATAATTATCAATGTCTCTTTAGTAAGACCTCTGAAAAAGCCAATTTTTAAAAGTATGTCTTAACTAACTTTCTTCTTCTTCTTACTACGCCCTCTCCTTTCGAAGGTCGGCGATCCAAATGGCTATTGTGGCTCGGGAAACTGCAGCCCGGAATATTTCTATTGATGAGCGATTAAACCACCTCCTGAGGTCCTTGAGCCACGAGTTTTGACGTCTTCCTATCGATCTTTTACCTTGGACTTTGCCCTCTATTATCAGCCTCAGAAATTCATATTTTTCGCCCCTCATAACATGGCCAAGATACTGCATTTTTCTTTGTTTTATTATATTTAATAATTCGCGAGACCCGTGCATGCGATTCAAAACCTCATTATTGGTGATTTTCTGTACCCATGAGATCCGCAGTATTCTTCTATATATGTACATCTCGAACGCTTCTAGTCTCTTCTCTGTTTGAGCATCGAGTGTCCAGCTCTCGCATCCATAAAGCAAAACAGAGAAGATGAAGCATTTCACCATTCTCAATCTGAGCTCAAGACTTATGTCAGATCTTATGAAGAATACCCTCATGCTCATAAATGTTCTTCTCGCCTGCTCGATTCTCGACAATATTTCCTTCTTCGGATTACATTGACTATTGATATTGGCTCCCAGGTATTTGATTGAGTCGACTTGTTCAACTGGCTTCCCATTAACATTTAGATGTACATGAGTAACCGTTTTTGAGAACGCTAGTGTTTTGGTTTTGGCGACATTTAATTTCAATCCGAAAAAGTGGCTATAATGGACTATGCGATCTATCATGATTTGTAGCTCGGACGGACTGCTTGCCATGACAACAGTGTCGTCCGCGTACCTGATATTGGTTATGCTGATGCCATTGATCTTTATTCCTCCGTTAATTCCATCCATTGCCTCTCTGAATATAGCCTCCGAGTAGAGGTTAAACAATAGTGGGGACAGCACACAACCCTGGCGAACTCCCCTCTTGATCAGTATCTCATCTGATATGTTTTGCTCGATGTTGACCACTGCTGTTTGCCTCCAGTAAAGTTCTGAAATAATACGTAAGTCCTGCTCATCGATACCGGTTGCTGTTAGTATTTCGATCATCTTTTGATGGTTGACGCAATCGAATGCTTTGCGGTAGTCGATAAAACATGCATATACGCTTACATTCATGTCCCTGCATCTTTGTGTTAACACTTTCAGAGAGAAGAGTGCTTCGCGTGTACCTAGTCCGTTTCGGAATCCAAACTGAGTTTCGCCTATTTGCATTTCGCATTTCCTGTATATTCTTGTGTGGACAATTCTAAAAAATATTTTGAGCACATGGGACATGAGGCTAATCATTCTATAATCGTCACAATTAGAGGCATTGACTTTTTTGGGCAGCGTTATAAAAGTTGACTTTAGCCAATCGGCTGGTATCTTGCCCGAACTATAGATCTTGTTAAACAGTGATGTTATCAAATCCAAGCTTTTGCCTTCATTATCTGCTATTAGTTTAAGTGTTTCTGCATGAATTTTGTCTGGCCCAGTAGCTTTTCTATTTTTTTGTGATCTGATGGCGTGCATGACCTCATATTTGGATATTACTGGACCTTTTTCGTTTAGTTCGCTGTTATATGAGGGTGGGGTGTGTGTTCTTTCGTCGTTGTATAGCTGTTCGATGTACTCATGCCATCTTTTCAGTTTAGCATCTAATCCCGTAATTATTTCATTGTGTTTGTCCCTAAGTATTGATGCATGGTGTCGCCTGTGTTTGCCTGTCATCTCTTTTATTCTTTTATGCAGATTAAAGCTGTCATGTTTTGATTGTAGCTCCTCTATTTCTTGGCATTTTGTTATCAACCATTGTTCCTTTGCCTCTCTGCATTTCTTTCTAATAGTTCTATTTAGTTGTTTGTATTCTGTCGGCTTTGTTTTAAGTTTCCTTCTCTCATTCATTAGGTCCATAATTTCCTGTGTCATCCACTCTTTCTTCCTGTCGTTCTTTATGTAGCCGATGTCCTGTTCCTCTATGTTGGTTATTTTGTTTTTAAATATGTTCCATATCGTCTCTATTTCCCTTTCTGGTGCCAAACTGACTGCTGCTTCTATTTCACTTTCTATTTTCAAACTTATTTCTTGTTTCTTTTTGGTGTTATTCAGTTGTGCAAAGTCTATTTGTTTTGTGATCTTTTCCCTTTTGGTATTCATAAATCGTTTGAGTTTGAAGTCTATCACCACAGGATTGTGGTCACTATTAATGTCTGCGCCAGGGTATGTTTTCACTGCTTTTATGTATTTTTTGAATTCCTGTCCTATGAGAATAAAATCAATCTGGTTTCTGATAATCGTCCCCTCTCTGTCTGCAGGTGATCTCCAGGTATATAGTCTTCTGGGGTGAAGCTTAAAAAAGGTGTTAGTTATGATTAGATTGTTTTCTACACAGAACTGTATCAGTCTGTCGCCTCTTTCATTGCGCGTTCCAAGACCGTAATTCCCTACACTATCTCCATCAGAACCACGGCCTACCTTGGCATTGAAGTCACCAATAACCATACTTATTTCACCCTTCCTTGTCAGTCGCATGGCTTCATCAACTTGGGAGTAGAATTCTTCCATTTCTTGGTCTGATTTGTCCTGTGTTGGAGCGTAGATCTGGATTATGTTTAAATTTCTGTGGGTTGTTTGTAGTTTTAGCATCATGACCCTATCACTTAGGGGAATGAACTCTGTCACTGACTTTGCTATTCTCTCTGAGACAAGTATTGCCGTTCCATATCTATGGTCCGGATCAGTGCCTCCTGAATAGTACATGGTCCCTCTTTTAGTTTTTTGTTTTCCAGAGTTAGGCCATCTGACTTCACTCATTCCCATGATATCTATGTTCAATCTGTTCATCTCGCATTCAACGTTTGTAAGTTTTCCTGCCATAAATAAGCTGCGTGTATTCCATGTGGCAATGCGGACGATTTTACCGTAGATTTTGAATTTTTCGCTGTCTCTATCTGCATATTTCTCACTAGTGGAAGACGGGGGTATTCTTCGCACCCTCTCCCCACTTAAGGGGTGCCCCGGACTGAGGGCCGTTTTTGTGTTTTCTTCAGCCATTGAGATTTTTTGGAAAGTATAATACAGTAAGAGTTCCGTTTCTTTTCTGTATCGCAGTACCACAACTATTAAAACTGCTGCAGTCATACTTGTAGTGATCCAGCAATGAGCCGGTCCAGAATCATTTTCTTTGCGCCCCATCCTGGTACTGGTGGTCGCTGCTGCCCTCCACCAGGGATATTTATTGACCTCCCAGTCTAGATCCGTACTGTTCTGCGTTAACAGGATCACCTCGAGTAGGATGTGGCTCTGCACCACGCAGTACGGTCCTGGCTGAGGAGAGGCTATGTGTGCTTTTAGGCACGGACGCGTCACCCAGCCCTGGTTGTCATGAGGACCAGTGCCCAGTCATCCCGAAGCAAAGGTGCTACCTCTCTAACAAACCTTGAACCCACTTTACTTGTTAAAAATGATCAAAAATCATTGGTCAATAAATAACAAGTTTTAGTAAAAGGATAAGCCGAAAAGTTATTTGTATTTACCGTTTTTTCAATTGGTAGAATGGTCAAGACAAAATTATACAAAAATTTACTTTATGGTAAAATTACCACCCTCTCAATATAAAATTGGGATAAGATCAAACAAAACAGGTATAACTTTATATATTTCATTAATTTAACACAAGCAATAATTAATTAATTAATTAATTATTCTCCATAAATCAAATTTTGTATACATCGTAGCAAAACGCGCATATGCATTTAGAATATGCGTATCTGCTGTGAAATTATTGTAAGGGCTTGGCGTGTGTCTTAGAGATTAGATTGGATTGGATTAGACCATACAGCTATTAGATATGGACGCCCTGTTTATGCCGATATGACAGGAACCTTTGAAACAACTATGAACAATATTTGGAGAAGGTGCATTCAATATGCGCATGTTCGACAGCCAACATGGCCGCTGACAGATCGTCAATAAGTTTCGATGCGGCATATTTACAGCAGTATGTTCTCCAAATATTCTTGTTAAATGTTCTGGGAAAACGAGTTCAGTGTGTGGAAATCGTTGTTTAGAAAGAAAGTGGCGCGAAGTACAGGTTAGTGAGTTAAATGCGCGGAAAATCTTTACCTATTCTTCG